TTTAGTGCACTTGTGTGCACACTTTTGTCTCAAAACACTTACATGTAGATAGCAGAATTGGCACTAGGTCAGGCCATATTCTATACTGAACAGTCATTTATCCCACAGCAGGTTGTTAGGAACTTAGTTTTCCCTAGGAATCAGTTATTTTCTACTTATGCTTACACAGCATTGCCTTAAGCATTGTGAAGAGGTCCTTATAAACCCCCAAGTGTCTGCTGACAACAGATGAAGACCAAATCTTTGCACAGAAACCCCTTAAAATTTTGATTTACTGAAACTTATTTTCTCCTCTTGGCTTCAAGGATTTTATATAATGAGGTTGAATCTTTCAATGCTGTTACCTGCTTGCAATAAGAACAAAAATCCTAGAAAATTTGTATTGACAAATGACTAAATAAATGTAAACAATGAACAGGTAATTTAAACTTTACTCTGTAGTTAACTTATCTTTCTAAACACCGAATTCAAACTTATTGTTACATCCTAATCAATGAACTGATGCTATAACAAGTCTTATAACTGGCTCCTGTGTTTAAGATTTGTGGTCATATTTTTAGATTTTTCTTGTAATACCAATATCCAGCATAGTTTAATTTTGTTTCATTAGGCAAATCGTCAACTTTCTCTTATAACTGGCTCCTGTGTGATCATATTTTTAGATTTTTTTTGTAATACCAATATCCAGCATAGTTTAATTTTGTTTCATTAGGCAAATCGTCAACTTTCAAATTTTCACATGCTTTGAGAAGGACAGGCAGTACAAAGGACTTCATATAGTAAAAGTCATGTTTCCTTTGGTTAAACTCTGTATTTGAATGCTTTACAAAAATTAAATATGAAACTGAAGTGTTAACCATATCATTAGATTTCCACAGCTTCCTTAAAACAAAAATAACTTTCCTTACAATTTATTTAAAGATATTCAGTGTACAACATTAGATTATATGTAAGGTAAGGTAAAAGGTAAAGGTTCCCCTTGACAATTTTTGTCCAGTCGTCTCCGACTCTAGGGGGCGGCGCTCATCCCGCTCTTCAAGCCATAGAGCCAGCGTTTGTCCGAAGACAATCTTTCCGTGGTCACATGGCCAGTGTGATTTAGACACGGAACACTGTTTACCTTCCCACCGAGATAGTACCTATTTATCTACTCGCATTTGCATGCTTTCACTAACACATTTCATACTGTAAAATGATGATGGGAGTGTGCAGCTTGCCCAAGGCCACACAGGCTGTCTCTCTTCCACACAGAGGCACAGTGGGGAATGAAGCTCCCAGCCTCTGATTCCACATACAAAAACCTAACTCACTGAGCTATCCAGCCAGCTAAGGCATCTAATAGGGCTGAATTAATATATTCAATAAAATAACTAATTTAAATGCATTTTAACTCAAAATATTGTCAAGGCCTCTGCCCTATTTGACAACAGTGGAGCAATGATGAGGCAAAAATAGAGCGTGAGGACTTAAATTAGCCTTGTATTACTAATTGGAAAGCGTACTGCAAACTGCAATGATGATTAATGGCTCTGTTCTCATGCTGGGAATTGCAACAGCAAAATATTTCACCTCCAAATTTCCATAGTTTTTATAATTATAACTCTCTTCAACACTCATTCCCTTGCTGGGTTTCAGCTTCATATCGACATTCTACAGTAATTTCTGCAAGTCCTTCTACTGATACATAGTATAAGTAAATATGCTGTTTGCATGAAGCCTACAAACCAATACTTATGTTCTATTCAATTTACACTTTTAAACATTCTTGGAAACTAATCACTCTCAAAATTCAATGACCAAAATTCCATTAAGTGTGGCCCATCTGCAGAACGGAAGAGCGGAGGAAGAGCAAAGGACAAATACAAGTAGCTCCAGAGCTAATGCAATGGTTGGGCCAAAGCAGAAAGAATGCTCAGCTGCTGACGCACCTGGAAGTGAAAGGAAAGTCTGATGCTGCAAAGAAAAATACTGCATAGGAACCTGGAATGTAAGATCTATGGAACTTGGCAAGCTGAATGTGGTCAAACAGGAGATGGCAAGAATAAACATTGACATCCTAGGCATCAGTAAACTAAAACGGATGGGAATGGGCGAATTCAGACTATTATTATATCTACTATTGTGGGCAGGAAACCCATAGAAGAAATGGAGTAGCCCTCATAGTCAACAAAACAGTGGGAAAAGCTGTACTGGGATACAATCTCAAAAATGTTAGAATGATTTCAATACGAATCCAAGGCAGACCTTTCAACATCACAGTCATCCAAGTTTATGCATGAACCACCGATGTTGAAGAGGCTGAAATTGACCAATTCTATGAAGACTTACAACACCTTCCAGAACTGACACCAAAGAAACATGTTCTTCTCACTATATGGGACTGGAATGCTAATGTAGGGAGTCAAGAGATAAAAGGAACAACAGCTAAGTTTGGCCTTGGAGTTCAAAATGAAGCAGGGCAAAGGGTAATAGAGTGTTGTCAAGAGAGCAAGCTGGTTATCACAAACACTCTTATCCACAACACAAGAGGACATCACTAGATGGGCAATACCGAAATCGGATTGATTATGTTCTCTACAGCCAAAGATGGAGAAGCTCTATACAATCAGCAAGAATAAGACCTGGAGCTAATTGTGGCTCTGATCATCAGCTTATTATAGCAA